CCGTCTGAATGTCTTAAGGCATGTGCGAGACGCAATGGCTGATAGCCAAGACGTTCAAAAGGAACAAGCTGACGCTAGAGGCCGGGGTAGTATGGAAAACTTTGAGGTCGGAGACGTGGTGTTATTAAACGCGAAAAACCTACCTACACATGCAGTTTCTGCGGTCTTCAAGACTAAGCTGCGTCCTCGCTTCATCGGACCGTTTAAGGTCGTGGCCAAGAAGGGCCTTGCGTACACGCTTAACCTTCCCAAGAAGATGCGCACACACCCAGTGTTTTACGTGGGCTTGCTCAAGCGTTACCGCGATCCGAGCCAGGTGAGCGCGGAGGCGCTGGCGCCGGCACCGTTGGAGGGGCAGCGCCCCGCTGCAGCTGCACCAGCACGTCAACCTGCCCGCGCAGGATCTGGACTTGGTCGTGCAGCGTCTGAACAAAGCGCTCCAACCGACCCATCCGGTCATCCGGTGGATCTTCAAGATCGTGGAGCCGACGCTCAACAGCGCGGAGCGCGTCGTCGTTCTGCGCAAACTGCCTCCCGACCCAGTCGCGGTGGTCGCGCCCACGCCCGGCTTGATATTCCAGCTCGGACAACTGCGCTCGCACAGCCACAGGGTTTAGCGGCGGCTCGCCGACCTCCTGCTCTGCTCGATGAGCACGGAGAGCTTCACTTCCATGTGGAGCGGCTTCTGAAGCGACGTCGTCACCGGGGTCATACCCAATATCTGGTGAAGTGGCGGGGCGAGCCAGTACGAGGTGCCCCTGAGGCAAGATTGCCCGGACGCCGTTGACGCTTTTGATCGGTAGCACCCGAGACGCTCACCGAGCTCGAAGCCAACTCGTCGGTCGCCTCGCGCTTCCCGGCGCTAGAACGAGACGATGACACATCCGAGCGAGTGCTCGAGTGCGAAGCGTGAGCTGGCGCCGCAGGCGTGGACGTAGACGCACGGCGCGGAGTATCTCCAACCGCACGATTGGCGCCTTGGGCGCGTGGTCTTCGACCATGGCGATTTTGTTGGCGGGCCTTCTTCTTCGCCCACATGAAGCGGAGGCGCCGTTCAAGAAGAACATCTTGCTTTCTATAGCTTGCTCGAAGAGCATCAATTGACGGCAACTTACGGGAATTCTCAACCCAGGCCTGGAACTGGCCATCATCTTCATCTTCGGTCTCACCGGGAACGAGGACCATCGGGATGCGCTGCATCTGAGGCACCGACTGGTCGTGCAGTTGACCATCCAGCCGGGCGCAATACTCCGAGGGAGTGGTCTGCTGCGGCGTCAGATAGCGCTGGCGCAGCGCGAGGCGCTCGTCTACATCTGCCGTTGTCGAGGCTCTCGGCCCTACGATGTATGAACCCAGTAGGCCTTTGGCCCAGTCGTTCGCGACCTTCAATGGATCTTCGCTGCTTGTAAAGCCATAGTCTCTCCGAGAGGGGTTCACGATAGGCAACGCCTCCGGTATGTTCGAGCGCGTTGGCGCGGTGCGCTCTTCGAGCTGACGGCGCCGAGCCTGGTCCAGTGGGTTGGAGACTGTGTCTGGATCCGTCGGATCATCCCCGTCCCTCGGAGGCAGAGGTGGCGCATGGCGCAGCGGGTCCGGGTGTAAGTGCGACCCCCGGGTCTCTGACCTTGGCTGATGAACGAGTGCCGCGGGGGCGAGCGCGAACGCGCTGTCCTTGAAGGGCTGTGCCCACTCCGCGGCGATCTGCCATCGCCTTCCGACGGGTTGGCGTTGACCTCGCCCACCTCAGACCCGAAGAGATCGTCGTACGCATTCCGCACACGCCTTGGCGCCTGCTCGCCAGCCGGGCTTGAGCTATGCTCCGACATCTTCGCTGGCGGCAGCTTCGGAGGGTGCGCTGCACGATACTTGGCTATGGAAAGCCTCTGCGGGGTGCTGAGCACGGGCTCCTCCTTTGCGCTCGGCGTCTGGGACGACTCGGCGGCTGGCTCGACGGATGGGCTGTGCCCTGGCTGCGTGGCGCTCGTGCGCGGGCCTTGTGACTGCTGGTCTGTAGACCCGGGGGCTGCGTGCATGCGTTACACGCACAGCCGATCCGACAATGAGGCTCTGTGAGCACAAGTCGAACTCGCGGTGGGTCTGGACCCTAACTGGAAGATCGGAATGGTCCGTGCTTTTGAAGCTGGCGTGTTCACCGTCTTGATGGGGGAGAGTGTAACGGGGTTACACAGAGGTTACCCTTTTGGTTACCCTTTTGGTGTGCGATACACCAAGGGTTACTCCCTGGGCCACTGGCCAGTCATTGAGAATGAACTAGAGTTAGTTATGTGCAGGTATTTGCACCGTAGACGGCGGAGCCGCAGATAAGAGAATGAATACAGTTTGCCTTTTGCAAGAAGTCTCTGACTTGTTTTCGTGGGTCCTTGGATAGGACCCTGTTGGACTCTTTGAGTCGTAAAGTCTTCCTCTACGCAAGGAGCTACGGCAGCCCCGCTGCAAAGAGGATGGAAACCTGCGATGCTTTTTCATGAATTGAAGGGGTGTGGTAAACCCACCACACTATAAAAGGCAAAGTTTGAGCACGTTGTTTATCTGTCTGATGCGCTAGACAAAACGCTAGTCTGCGGATTTTGCAGCAGTATGCAGGATTTTGGGGTTTCCACTACAGTTTGTTGGCAACGGAAGAACAAAATGAAGTTGGATTATAAATTAATAAACAATCAGGACGAAATACAAACCGAAACGAACTGTAAACGAACAATAACTACAGTATCATAGTTCATTTGTTATCTATTGACGGAATTGTTAAGTCACCTGCTCAATCGAACGTCACTCCAACACAGTAACCACATCCAGGATCTCCAACTAAGTGCCTACTCGACTCTTTAGGTATGCTGCCGGCTCCGTCTGCATCGATTTCTTAATATCCAAAGTGGAGGCAACGCTGCTACAGTAACAACGTCGACTTTTTAACGTTGAAACACGTAGGCAAAGTGGTAGTGACGTGTGGATATGCTCGCTGGAATCTGAAAATCCGAAAATCTTCTTTTACCTTCTTATATCCTTGAAAAAAAACAAATCTAATTTTTGATCGGCTTTCTTTTACCATTGATTCACTGTCGAGCCATTGCGATTTCGAGAAGAGCCATACAGTTTATGTTCACATAATTTTGCTAACACCAAAGTTGAGGTTTATTGTATAGTGTATCAACAAGTCGCAGGGCTTTAGAAATCAATATCACGACACGATTGAGCACCCACCCGGTGCGACCGACATGGAACCATGCTTCACTGTAAACCTGCGCAATATCAAACCCTACCTATGGAGGTTCTGACATTGACATGACCCAGTTAAGAAAATTTGGCTGTGCAGTTTACTATGGTAGTGATTTTGCTGCTTTGGCCAACATGAAATTGGCGAAAAGCGACGATTGTTTGCGCCGATTTGAAGGGTGTAATTTTCTTCGGCGCCAACGGTCGTCGCTTTTCACTAATTTCATGGAGGGTGCAGTGAATCATGTGTACAGAGAACGAGAAGTATTACATGTAATAGTATCAGAAATGCACACTTCTACGGAAAACGCCGTGCAAATCTACCGCTTTGTATGAGATTATTAATGCATTGACCGGTGAATTTGAATGTCACGTATACAAAATTTAAATGAAACTGCCCATAGTGGAGCCATTTAAACGAAACATTTGTACCGCACAATTGATACACATTGCGAAACTCAGCTCTAACTACACAAAGTACTTCGACTAAGCGGTAAATCTACCTCGATAAAAGCTGTAGTACCCGTCAATGCTGATGCTGTCAACATGAATTACGACCAATTGCGCTGGGCTCAGCGATTCACGCGCCGATGTGGAGCAATACCCAGGGCAATGCCGAGGGCAACGGCGAGTGGATTACGAGGTGAGCCCCAATCTCAACAGAGCAGGACGCCATAGCACAACGACAACACAATACTAAATTTTACGTGCAACATGAAGAGCAGAACACACAAAGCTGCAATATCACGTCCACCGTAACGAGGCAAACTCAGTGACAACACGTCTCGTTGTGAGGTACTGCGTAGTATGCAGTAGAGGAAGTAGTGAGAAACTTCAGAAGTGTAGTAACTAGCGGTATGATGAATTTGGCCTAAAACCAAGCAAACATCGACTGGTAGGCTTTTGAGCTTGACCAAGGAAGAGAAACCTAATGACTAAACCCACATTGCCAGCTCTGACGTGGTGTCCTCTCGTTTTTGTCTCGGAAGCGACCCGTCATCGTGAATGCTTACACTGAAAAACGCATTCCCGCCGGAACTCTTCTGCGAGTGCTACATTCTACACGACACGAGAAGAACCATCGTAAGAAGCGTGGACTCAAACCCTTGCAATTTTCGCTTCTACATGTCGAGCAGGGATCTGGCTGACTCAGTGCTGTACAGGATACTGCAAATCTAAACGACCGCTTCAACCTGGTGCTCAATTTCAGTGCAATGGACACTGTGTCCCACTCCAAAGTGTCCCAAAGCCGGTATGACATCCGATAGAAAAATGCCTCCACCTCCACCTCTATCCTTGTTCTTGAAGGCGCTGTTGGCTGCTGTACCAGCGCCGCAAAACGCACTGCAGCGCATTGCATGCAGTGAGCTCGACCTTGAAGCGAGTCGCACCCCCCCCCCCCCCAAAAAAAAAAAAGTCAACAACCAGCCCGAGTTAACCCACCACCAGATGCCAGTCAAACGAATTTGGACACTTTGGGCACTTTTGCCAGAGGGTGGAACATAGTCGAAGGGACAGTACCCAAACCATCTGCCATAAAACCTCTGCTAAATCCGCGATTTTATCGGTGTCCCATACAAACTCCCTTCAACAACCTCCAGCTAATCCACTGCCTCCATTTGCGACATCCCGCCCCACTCGGATTACGCCATCTGCCCAATTCCCTCGCCCATTTACCCATTTCCAGGAAAATCAACCAACGCAACTCGACCGACCGGCCATCGCATCACTACCGAAAGCGCCCCCGTCCGCAACGTCAGCCCCTGAGCATGGCCAAGTTCTGCGCTGAGTGCGGCGCCAAGAGCACGGGCGGCAAGTTCTGCTCCGAGTGCGGCACGCGCTACACCGACGACGACGGCGCGGCCTCCGCCTCCGCTGCCCCCTCCGCCTCCTTCGTCGCCCCCGCCGCCTACCAAGGCGCCGCCACAGCCGTAGCCAGCGCCTTCCGCAGCGAGAACTCGCCCTACGGAGGCAACTCGTACCAGCACGACCCGCGCGGCAGCTTCAACTCGCAGCCGCCTCCTCCGCCCCCCGTGGCGCAGTACGCGCAGCAGGCGCAGCCCTACGTGCGCAAGTCGGTGCCCAGCGCCTTCCGCAACAGCTTCAACCGCAGCAGCAGCAACAGCAGCTCCAGCGCCAACTCGCCCCCCGCCGCCATCCCCGTGGCCGCCGTGTCCGACCCCGTCCCACCCGCAGCCACTGGAGCTGAGGCGCAGCAGTACTACGACAAGTGCGTGACCACCATCCGCGCCTCGAAAGGAGGCAACAACGAGCGCGGCGTCAAGGAGTTCAAGCAGAACTGCCGCCGCTACGGACTGCGCGAGATGGACGTGCAGTCCTTCTACGCGTCGCTGGTGGCGGAGCTCGGAGCTGAAGGGACGAGGAGCTTCGTCCCCACGCTGGCGAGACTCGTGCCCGATGACGACAGACGCAAGGAGCTCGTGGACTACAACGCGCAGCAGCGAGCAGCGGCGTTCGGAGGCAGCGGTGGAAGACCGTCAGCGTTCTCCAACAGGTGAGAGATCACAGGCTTTTATTTACTATCGTACTATTTTACTGATGGGTTTGTGTGGATGAAGGAGCAGGAACTCGAGCATGGCGGACTCGTTCCGCAGCGACTCGACTATGAGCGCCAACAACGGGGCGCAGAGCAAGGGGATCCTGAACAACCGCTACGCCGACCACCCCAACTGCGACGTGTGCAACGTGCGCTTCGACGTAACCAAGCGCCGACACCAATGGTGCGGAGCTCTCGGTCGTTGTAGAAGAAGTGACTTGTCTTTTTGTAGGTTACTGACGCGTCTGAATTGGTGCTGTTAATTGGGAATATGTAGCCGTATGTGCGGGCTTTTCATCTGCAGCTCGTGCTCTCCCGTGCGACTGCTGGTTCCGCCCGGAAAGCAGATTGACGGAGCCAAGAATTACGACCCGTCAGTCCCACAGCGCGTGTGCATCCAGTGCGCCCCAGAGCTTCACCCACTTCAAGATGAGTTGGTGGCTACCTACGCGCAGTCACAGACCGACAACATCCACGAGGCCCGCGGCCGGTTCCACGTGCCGTTCTCCAGCTCGCTGAACAAGGAGTGCTGCAACGCGGCGGACATCATCGGCAACTTCTTCCGTAATGACTGGGGCGCGTCCGCCGACCGTTCCATCCCCGTTGCGTTCTTGCAGAAGGCACATGGTCTTGCAGTTATGACTGTGCTCAAGGCTGGTTTCCTTGTCTCAGGCAAGATCGGCACGGGTCTGGTTGTGGCCAAGCTTCCAGACGGATCGTGGTCAGCTCCATCGGCTATTGGCACCTTCGGACTCAGCGGCGGGTTTGAGCTCGGAGGAGAACTGGTGGAGGTCATGATTATCCTCGGGTCAGAGGGAGCGGTCAAGGTGTTCCACAAGCCTCAGGTGAACCTCGGCGCTGGACTGGATGTGGCCGTTGGCCCGTACGGTCGATCAGCGCAAGCAGCTGCCGCCGCCAGCACGAGTGGGCTCAACGCCAACTACAGCTATTCGCAGAGCAAGGGACTGTTTGCCGGCATTTCCCTGCAGGGAGCCATCCTGGCTGCGCGTTCGGACCTGAACCGGAAGTTCTACGGACGTGACTTGCAGCCCAGCGAACTGCTCAGTGGATTTGTGGAGCAGCCAGCAGCGGCGCGTCCATTGTACGAGGCGATCGACAATGCGATGCGAGGAATCGAGGACCACAAGGAAGAGCAACAGCGCCGCTCGTCCGTAATGGGGGCGTGCAGACTCTGCAACTGCCCTATGTTCCAGGCCCACACGACCCAGATCTGGAACAAGAAGTGCAAAACGTGCAACCACGCTCATTAAGGAGTCGATGGGGTGTGTGACCCTAATATAATCCATGCGTATGAGAGGCCATTGCGTTATGTGAACAAAAGAAAAGCTTCCATTCAAATTTTGGATATTTCTGTCCGTCAATATCCATAGGACCCCATGAAAATGGAACTCGCCCACATTGCTCCAGTAACTGGAGTCCAGTCTGGGCACGATCTCAAGACCGTGAAAACAAAACAAAAAACACTACAGTACATGTATTACACTCCACGACAAAAAGATATGGACACCACCAAAAGTGGCTGTAACTTCGTCATTTTTTATCGTTTTAAGGTGCGGTTTGGACTAGAGTTGCAGAACACGCTGATAAAGATCTGCACGCTGCTAACACGCGCGCTTTTGCGCTTCTTCATGTAGCTCACATACAAATCACTGATTCTGCCCAGGTGACAAAACTAAGGACAGCTAATCCCCATACAAAATCCTATATTAACCAAAACCCCTTACAAATGATACGACTTGGACTTTGTATGGATGATATATGGCTCAGTATTGAGGTATAGTGAAGACAAGTCCAAGTCGTATCATTTGTAAGGGGTTTTGGTTTATATTGGATTTTGTATGGGGATTAGCTGTCCATAAGTTTTGTCACCTGGGCAGAATCAGTGATTTGTATGTGAGCTACATGAAGAAGCGCAAAAGCGCGCGTGTTAGCAGCGTGCAGATCTTTATCAGCGTGTTCTGCAACTCTAGTCCAAACCGCACCTTAAAACAATAAAAAATGACGAAGTTACAGCCACTTTTGGTGGTGTCCATACCTTTTTGTCGTGGAGTGTAGCCGACCAACTCCCTCATGAACCTCGTAAACTAGAGATCGTGCCCAAGTTTACGATCTTAAACTTGATCTTAAGAGTGTTAGCCCTACCTAGGTAGGTCTTGACCTTAGCCGTAATCTTGGACACGATCTCAAGCTTACGAACTTCATGAGAGGGTGGCTGCTAGCCTAGGAACTTCGTCGCTAACGGTGTTTTTTTTGGCAATCGGCTTGCACGCATGTGGGTAGTACCGCATTCCTTTTGTCAAGGCATACAGCCCCATTTAGCCAGTATTTTCGAATCGGGAAGCTTTGTGTGCATGGAAGCATTTATATCACACATCATCATTTGTACTTGACTTGACATTTGTATGAAATCGACTTCCTTATACCAAAATGTTGTGCCGACTCAGTTAACCAGGACACGAAAATCGCCACCTATATCACCGAATCAGGCTGTGTGCCTCGACAAAAGGAATTCGGTATTGCAATATGAAAAAGTGCTCGACATAACTGGGCGTTGGTGAATGAAGTGGACCGTAGGTAGGTGCTCATACTAAACGGGTGATATCTGGGCTCGTCGACAACAACGCATTCAAAGACATAACGTTACTACTACAGTAGTACCTGTACTATTTTAATTGAAAGCTACACCTGTAAAATCTCGTACGGATATACCACAGTTTCACGGAGTAGCTCCATGAGTGAGCTGATGTTGTGGCTCAGGGACAGCGTGCAGCAGGTTATGGTACGCACATGAACACTGCAAGGAATACGCAGCCTGCTGCGGCATGCTCTGACCTCTTTTTCCAACATGAAGTTCTACACCATCGCACAGAGCTTCACCTCGAAACAATCTGCAGAGCGGAAGGCTATCCGTTGTCTGTGTGGTGGCGGTGGCGTCTGTGTGTAGTTCTGTTTTGGCTCGTGCAAAGCACGAATTTTTTAAGATTAAAATCTCAGATGTGTTGTACGTACTAGTACTAAGTATTGCGTAGTAATCACATGCACACGATGACCAAGGTTTTTACTCCTGTAATAGGAGCAAAACTCGCCAAGCACTGGACAATCCGCTGGACTTCAGCGCGCGCCAACTTGAGCCTACAGCAAAGCTTATTAGTGCCACAGCGCTGTCGTTGTGGCCCTTCAATTCTGCCTTCTCTTGAAGGGAGACTATCGTCCTAACAATACATACATATGTAGAGAGCATTTCGGAGCCACGTACAGTCAAAGCAGTGCCTGTACTGCATGGGACATATTTTGTCACGGCATTGGTTGAGACCGTTATCAATTCCTATGTTCCAGATGGAGATTCGTTTTCGGATATGGCGGAACAGAGAATATCATTCCTTCAGAAGTCGATTAACAGTTTGTGTATCATGAGCATGGTTTTATTGTTTGCTAGAGGCGTAGGTTAGTGATAAGAGGTGCAGCCTCTATTGTGCCTTTCACTTATTCTGCCGTGATAATTCTGGCATAACTCTAATCCCTTATCGACCTTAATTATGTCCCGAGTTAGCTAATTCCCATGTTAATTCCGGGTCGTCCCTCCGTGGCCGAATTAGGAGCGGCGATGGTGAGGCCGAGTTAAGGCGGAATAAGCTAATCCAGCCTTTGTTAGGCGGAAACAGAGCGATTGGCGGTTTCCTACCTGCCAATCCATGCCATTCTGCTCGTATCTCCGTCGATTGGCTCTCAAATGCTGATTGCGGGTGTTAGGGGAAGCGCTCACAATCTTAGGCAGAATTAGCACTAAATAAGCGTTGATCGCCCTATTATGACTCTAATTACGCCTGAATCTACAGCTCACCCGCCAAAATACGTGAAAGGCACAATTCTTTCACATGTGATTAGTTGTGCATGATTATTTGATGTGGGCGGATGATAGGATAGATAGTCAACCGAGTAATACATACGTAGATTATGCACCTTCCAAACACTCTCCGAAGTCAGCAGGCTTCAGTTCAGTCCGCAATTTGCCCGCCAGCCCACAAGCCCAAGCATGCGCGTGGGCTACAAAACTCTACTTTTCGCAGTTGCGGTCTTGGTAAACGCTGATGCGTCGTTGGGACATAATGGCGCCGCAATCAACCCCAAGTTCCAGGTGCTCCCACGTTCATACAATGTGAAACAGAACGCAGTACCCACCTCAAGAATCCTGGGGGTGTTCCGCGCCGAAGACGAAGAGAGAATAGGAGTTCCCACCTCCGTCGTCGAGCAAGCCAAATCCATTGTGACTACCGTTTCGACGGAAAAACTCGCGAAATGGCTCAACAAAGGAGAAATCCATCGACGACGTCTTCATCATCCGAATGCAGCTACCCAAGACAGGTGATAAGCTGTTCGATAACCCGCAGTTCATCGCTTGGCTTAATTACGCGGACGATTTAACTTCAAAGACCGGAAAAGAGACTTCAGCCATCGCGACGCTGACGCTCACTACGGTGACGAAGCGCTAACAAAGATTCTGCTAGCAGCGAAGAAGGTCGAGGAGACAGTGGGGATTGCTACAAGGCTGGAAACGGCGCAGATACAGAGGTGGCTGGCTGAGGGTAACACTGCTGACTCGTGTTTAAGCTGCTCAAGCTGGACAAAGCAGGAGACGACCTTCTCACGAGTCCTCTGCTTAACACTTTGAACACGTAGCTGCAGCTCTTCAACAAGGAGAAACCTGCACAAAAGACGACATTGTACGCAACGCTAACAGCCCACCACAGCGACGACGCTCTGGCTCGGATGATTCTTGCGGCCAAGAACACGGGAAGCAAATCGGAAATCCTTAAGAGAGTCGAGGCGACGCAGCTCCAGACGTGGCTCGGTAAAACCCCAGACGATGTATTCAAGCTGCTGAAACTGGACGACTCATTGGACGATGTATTGACCAGCCCCCTCCTTAACACTTATACCAACTATCTGAAGATCTTCAACAAGGAAAACCCTTCAAAGGAAGCAACGCTGATCGCGGTGCTAACGAGCCACTTCGGCGATGAAGCTGTAGCCAAGATGCATGATGCAGCGAAGAAGGCGGAGGCGACCAAGAGTACCGCCACAAATCTGGAGACCGCCCAGATCCAGCATTGGTTGAGCAGCAGCAGGAAACTTCCGGATAGCGTCTTCAAGCTGCTGAACCTTGACAAGACCGGGGACAAGTTTCTCACTAGCCCGCTGTACACGACGTTCACCAAGTTTACGGACGCATACCACGCCAAGAATTTGGCCTCAAAAATGACAACGGGCTGGATCGTACGCGCTCACTATAAGGACTTCGACGGGTGCGGCTTACTTGTTATACAAAAACGGATGGAAAACATACATAGCTTAGGTGAGATGCAATCCGCTACTATTCGCGGGGTTATGTGCGATTAAGAAACCGGATAGAAATAGATGGAGCCATGTGAAGTGCTTCCCTAAGTGTACTGGGGGTTGCACCCAGGGTTCGGCAAAACCCATGTTTTGAGATTTGTCCGGGTGGGTTTGATAAGACCAGTGGGTGGGTGGGTTTAGGTTTTGTTTTTTAGGACCCGATGACGTCGTGGTTCCTTATCGGGAACCGGGCTAGCTGAGACCGTCCTCGATACTGTTTCCTTAATAAAATCCTGTCAAACACTCTAAACCGCGGTTTGCCGTGGCTCGCTCTCCATTTCTCACGCAAATTTGCATGCTAGCGCTCTCTCCAAGCCTTAACTATACCGTGTCAAGTCCTAAGGACAGAAAGAGCGGGCAAGCCGTTGGCTTTGTAGGCTCAGTTTTCAATTTGAACACTTCCATCACCTCTCCCGCCCAAGCCCCTCCCCTCGACATGAGTTTCTCGTCGCCCATTCGTCTGCAGGCGGAGCACGTCGATACGCCGGTACGTGGCGACGCTGGCGCTCTTGCAAGGCGCGCAGTGCCGCCGGGAACACCGGGTGACGGCACATAGGGCACGTCGCGCGAATCCCGCGCAAGTCGATGTGTTCATTAATGCACGTACGGCAAAAGACGTTGCCACACCGCCCGCAGTTCCTTGGTTCAACCACGGACCCCCAGCATATGGGGCACCTGTTGTCTTGCTGGCCTTGTTCGCCCACGTGCTGGTCACGGCTTCCTGGTCTGAGACTTGAGGAGCCGTCTGTTGAAGAGGTGGTTGGAGTTGATTGCGCCCCGTTGTGAATGCCTGATGTTCAGGCTGAGCATCCGGCTGCGCGACACGCTGCGGCTCTTGTTGCTGTTCTACGCGTCTTTCGCGACGACGCTGGCTGCGTAGGCCTCGGCGTATGGCTGCACCCAGGTCGGGAAACTGGCGGGCGAAGCAGATGGGGGTCCCAATGTGACGTCTGAGGGACGCCGCATGTCGAAAGGGGGCCATGCACCGGGGGAAGATGAACACCATTTAGGAAATGAAGTATGTAGGCTGTCTTGAAGACGCGTCGAGGTAAGTCCTCGTTTCTTAGGACCCCTTAAATAGTCTTCAGTGCTCATTCTATTTAAAATCCCAAATTACCCGCCATTTTGATTCAACGGGTGGGCGGGTGTTTTGAAAAACCCAAAACCCCAAAACCTTTATCCCACTTTTCGAACCCTGGTTGCACCCCCAGACCCCCGCATAAAGAAAACTAACTCCGAGTGTGCGGCAACAGGTCGGTTCGCTGGAATGCTTGTCGCTGGGCCCGCCTCCGCAAATACCGCGCGACCCTGCTTCGCGGGCACTCCGCGCGGGTTTGCTGCGGCTACGCTCCTCGCAACCGCTCACTACCGTTTCTAAGCACCATGTACTCGTTTCTATTTATAGTAGCGAAAGGCATTGTAGCGAAAGGCATCCGATTTTTAGCGGAGTAGCGGATTCCATCCTTTTTAGTAACAGAAATAAGCTTAATCCGACTTCGACGTGGTCAAGATGATTCTTGCAGCAGAGAAGGTCCAAAGCTCTGCCGCTGCTGCGAAGCGAATGGAAGCTGTGCTCTTCAAGGACTGGATGGCTGCCCCAACGCGCCCGATCATGCTTTCGACATGCTAAAGCTCAAGCGGGTGTGGACAGTAAGGCTGTTCAAGGACCCCATGTTCCTCTACTGGATGAAGTTCATGGACGACTTCAACAAAGGGTGAGTACTACACAACAAAATTCCAGCGGAATGGGGCCAATTCCAGCGGAATTTGCATTGCAGCGGAATGGCCGATCCGCTGGCGCGTACTGCATGCAATTCTAGCTGAAATTCGAGCATATTCCAGCGGATTTCATCCGCCCGAATTCATGGCGCTTTTGCAAAGACATTTTTTCGTTAAGAGAGTGGGTGGACTCCATTCACAAGCGCGTCTCTGTGGCTGCCCGCGGCATACCGCTTGCGGAGGCAATGGCGAAGACAGCGAAGAGGAGTGACGTGGCACGACGACGGAGTTATGGAATGGAAGCTGTCGCCGCTGTGGTAGGAAGGCAGCCCATCATTCAGGCCGACATTCTCACAGATAGCTTGGGCCAAGTCCTGTAGTAAGCAGGGCACACGAGTTTGTCCCCTCCACAACTCAATATACGTTTGCTTCTGATGCACGCTCTGTTTACAATATTTGACAGTGTAAAAAAGCGATCCGCTGGACAGCATCATCGCGCACAGCAACACAAAACAGTGGATTGTTCGTTCCAGCGGGTGGCTCGGTTCCAGTGGCCGACGTTTTATTCAAGCGGAACTACAGTACGCACCCAAAGCTTTCCCCGGCAAGAATGTTCAACGTACGCTGTTGGCAACGACTTACAATAATCGATGGGATTGGAGAGCGGTTCAAGGCGCGAAGAAGAACCCGAGCACCAAGGAATTGGCTACCAAGTTAGAGACTGAGATGCTCAAGCAGTTCATCTTCGCTGAGAAGCAGCCGATCGTCGTGGCCAAGTTGAGGAATGTGAAGGAGAAGACCGACGCGAACTGGAAGCTCTGGAAGTTGTACCTGAAGGACTTCAAGTTGAAGTCTTCAACAAGTATCACCTGATGGAGAAAACGACGTAGATCAACCGCTAGCATCGCTTCGGCCACGCCACATCGGAGCGTTTGAGCCAACGACCCGGAAAGAGTGTAGATACCACTGGGAATAGAGATTTAGGCCTTTTCGAAACTTTTGCACCAGAATACATCTTGTCCAAACCCCAAAATAAACGGCCTCGAACATTCTACTCGCCCTCTCATTGGCCGCCTCGTCGAATATTCTGGAGTCCGTCCTCATGATTGGCTCCTCTCCCCCAACATTCAAGATACTTCTCCCTCTTCAACTCTGTTCATGCGTGTCAGTCGGCAAATTGCCTTCAAGCGCTCAAGACCAACACTCTCGAATCAATGCTCGCGCTGTCCCGCGCCACCCTGCGCCCGACGCCGCGCTCGCTGCAGCTCGCGCGCCGCGGCCTGGCGTCCATGGGCCAGTCGCAGCCGTGGATCAACCCGGAGAACGTGCCGCAGGGCGAGAGCCTCAAGAAGTTCGGCCGCGACCTGACGGAGATCGCCAAGGCCGGCGCCCTGGACCCCGTGATCGGGCGCGAGGACGCCATCCGCCGCGCCACGCAGATCCTGTCGCGCCGCACCAAGAACAACCCGATCCTGATCGGCGAGCCGGGCGTGGGCAAGACGGCGGTGGCTGAGGGCCTGGCGCAGCGCATCGCGCTCGGCGAGGTGCCCGACAGCCTGAAAGACAAGAAGGTGGTGGCGCTGGACCTGGCGGCGCTCGTGGCCGGCGCCAAGTTCCGCGGCGAGTTCGAGGAGCGGCTCAAGGCCGTGCTCAAGGACGTGGACGACAGCCAGGGCAAGGTCATTCTCTTTATCGACGAGCTGCACACGCTCGTGGGCGCCGGAGGCAACGAAGGCTCCACGGACGCGGCCAATATGTTGAAGCCGGCGCTGGCCCGCGGCGCGCTGCACTGCATGGGCGCCACGACGCTGGACGAGTACAGGAAGTACATTGAGAGGGACGCGGCGCTGGCCAGACGCTTCCAGCCCGTGATCATCTCGGAGCCGAGTGTGGAAGACACGGTGACGATTCTGAGAGGGCTGAAGGAGAAGTACGAGGTGCACCACGGCGTCAGGATCGCTGACAGCGCGCTCGTGGCGGCCGCCACGCTGGCCAACAGGTACCTGACGGAGCGCAAGATGCCGGACAAAGCCATTGACCTAATGGATGAGGCCGCGTCGCGTCTGAGGCTGCAGCAGGAGAGCAAACCTGAACCTATTGAAAAGCTGGACAGGGAGATCATCCTGCGACGCATTGAGATTGAAGCGCTACGCAAGGAAACGGACGCGGCGTCCAAGAAGCGCATGGCTGCATTGGAGGAGGAAGTGAAGAAGGCGTCCGAGGAGCTGCGGGCGTTGATGGACGAGTGGAACGCGGAGAAGCACAAGCTTGAGGAGATGCAGCAAGCCAAGCGCAAGTTGGAGGAGGCGCGCCGAGATTTGGTGGCGGCACAGAACACTGGCAACTACGCGAAGGCTGGAGAATTGATGCACTCGGTTATCCCGAAGCTGGAGGCTGAGGTGGCGCATGAAGAGCAGGAGGAGGAGGAGTTGAAAAAGTCGACGAAGAAGAGCAGAACGTCGCTGGGAGATGCGGTGACGTCTGACCACGTCGCTGAGGTTGTGGCGCAGACCACTGGCATCCCGGCCTCGACTCTGATGGAAGGTGAGAAACAGCGACTGCTTAAGATGGAGGACCACCTCAACCTGCATGTGATCGGTCAGGAAGAGGCGGTGAAGGCTGTAAGCAACTGCGTGCGTCTTGCGCGTGCAGGACTTCACGCGCACAACCGCCCGCTGGGTGTGTTTATGTTCTTGGGTCCTACTGGTGTCGGTAAGACGGAGTTGACCAAGTCGTTGTCGGAGTTCCTGTTCCAGACCCCACAAGCCCTTACCCGCATTGACATGTCCGAGTACATGGAGAAATACAACGTCAGTCGTCTGATCGGCGCCGCCCCGGGCTACATTGGCTACGAGGAAGGAGGACAGCTTACAGAAGCTGTACGCCGCCGCCCCTACCAGGTCGTTCTCTTCGACGAGTTTGAGAAGGCGCATCGCGACGTGAGCAACATTTTGCTGCAGGTGCTGGATGAAGGCCGTCTGACCGACTCACAAGGTCGCGTGGTGGACTTCCGCAACACGGTGATCATTCTGACAAGCAACCTGGGCTCCGATATCCTGGCTGGACTACCCGAAGGCTCGCCGAGTTCCGTGGCGGAGGGCGAAGTGTTGAACGTCGTGCGCTCTCACTACGCGCCTGAGTTCCTCAACCGTATTGACGAGCTTGTGCTGTTCAACCGCCTGAAGAGAGAGGATATCCGCTCGATCGTGGACCTGCAGCTGCGCCAGGTAGACGAGCTGCTGGAGGAGAAGGAATTGACGATGAAGGTGGAGCCTGAGGCGGAGGACTGGCTGGCGGACGCTGGATATAGCCCACTCTACGGAGCGCGTCCGCTGAAGCGTCTCATTCAGCAACAGGTGCTGAACCCCATGGCTGTCAAGCTGCTTGATGGTTCCGTTGCTGCCGGCCAGTCCATTGTCGTGAAGGCGAACCCGGCATACGACGAGGAACTCGTGAAGAACGCAAAGACTGCCAAGCCTTTGCTGATTTCGGTTGAGTGAGCTGATACTGCGATCTCTTTCGTGTAGAGTACTCATGGCCAGTAGCAGCCAGTAAATAAAAGTAAATGCAATTTGGCGCATACACGAAGGCTGCATTGTGAATCTAACATGTCGGTGCGAAAAGTTCTTCATCCCTACACCAGGAAATCCTTATATGGTGGTGCGGACGTGGTAATGGTTCGCTGAGCAGCCATTGGAGCAGTAACCATACAAACGCGTTTACAACAGTACTCACAATGGGTCCGTGTCTTGTGAAAATCGCTAACATGGTAGCGGAGTACACTAGTCAAACAACATGAAGAGCACACATTCCCTGTTGCCTCGCTATACTTTTTCAATACCCACACAACCGAAAATATTTATAAGACGCATAAATATCGGAAGAACAACGTTACAGTAGCAGATCACGTGCCAAACGCAACTTGGTGAGCTGCAGAAGAACGATCCGATCACCTCATGCTAAGTTAACGTAAGAGCCACGATATAATCCTTGAGATTTGGCCGAGCGGTCTACAGTACATGTATACACTGTAGTCTACAGTAGACAATTCTGCATGTGGTTGCAGCTCGTCTACAAATGCTGCTATGCGAATTATACGACATGACATGCTTGCTAAATCAAGCTTAATACCGATAGTAGACCTTCTTCACCTTCCGAAGGAGCAGCATCCGGGTACGCTGAAAGCGTCGCTCTCTTCTCATGCTCTCGTGGTCTGGTATCCCATGGGCCAATAGTAAGGACGGATATCGTTCTTGAAACTTGCAGGGTGCATCACTGTCTGTGTATGCGCGATAGCGTGCTTCAGTCAAGTACTGAAGTCAGCGAAGCGATTGCAACCGAGAGACGGGTCGCAATCGCCCCTGGTACAGCTTTTGAGCCCCCTTGACCCCAACGTGAAAATATTGCGGCACTACAAATTAATGAACACTTTGAAGAGTACCAGACCCTTGAGCTAGATCAGCGATGCGCGGATGCAAATCAATGCATACATGGATTGTAGCAGCTTTAACTATTCTATGCGAAGTTGCCGCGCATGGGCCGTCCTTATTTTCGAGTACATTTCGCGGACTTTCGAGTAAAGAGTACTATACTCGGACTTTCGAGTACATATACCTCTTTTGAACTCGTGCGTTGCGTTAGCTTCCAGCTACTGACTCCGCTCTAAGAACGTTGAATGTCGGCATGGCATTCACGAACGTAAATAACGTGCTATTAGCCCTTTAGGGCAACTTGTCTGATGTTTTCTGCTGGATAAAGTTTAAATTCTCAACTGGCTTCCTTACATCCGCATAAGTGGTTCGATGCGTTACTCCCCCAGATACATTCATGCCGTGTCTTCCTTCGGTCTCATCCAGGGTGGCAATGCCGGACGTGGCGCCTTTCCTAAGTCAAGAATAAGGTTTATGTGAAATTACTCGGAAGTCAGTGAAGTGTACTCGCGATTAAGTAGCACCCGCCGCGCATCGTGCATTGCTTGGTAATGTAATATACTAAGTAAAGATAATTAGCACTACATATACTTTATGCAGACATTGCATTCGTGTCAAGAAAACCAGCAGCAGCAATACGAAGTGAGCGAAGCACAGTGCCGTACGCATACTGTAACAGAGAATGATATCTCCACGGTAATATAAAATCTAGTATTAACAGGATCCCGCTAAGAAGGGAACAAAATGAGCCCAAAACGGTGAAAGTCGGAAAAAAAACTAATTGCGGTTTTACTGAAGCTTGCATGCAACTGGTATCGTTCGCCAGTTCGCTATCTCAAACTAAACACTATGCTAATCTAATGTAAGCTATCTGTGCTATCTGGCGACCACAGGCGCTACACCAACGCGCCTCGAGTGATTGCCGTGTGCTCTGTGAACCGATTTTCAAAAAATCGAAACACGGTTCAAGAGCGGGGCAGCTTCCCCCCCACCTTCCCTCCCACCAGGTTGATCGCGAAGTCGGCCATCCTGCCTACGTCCTTGGACAGCAGTGACTTCACGTCCGTGTTAGCGCCCATCGGGCTGATCACGTCGATCAGCACCCTTAAGGGCCTGCAACGCTCTCTTACCTTAGCTATGTAACGCTGCTGCGCAGCTCGCCCTTCATCCTCCGCCAGGGTTCCCAGTAGGGTAATTGTGGGTTGGGCAACCCCGGGGTTACCCACCCACCCACCCCGGCCTACGAATTCTTGGGTTATGGGTTAATTCTAAAAACGTATATTGAAGTGCAATATATACGATCAAATTGTGCCGTAAATTATAAGGTAAAGGTTTGGAGATCGGTTATCACGGGTTTTGTGTTGTAGAACGTCCAAATGGGGTTAGGTAAACTAAAACCCATAACCCACCCACCTCGCTTGGAAAACCCGGGTAACTTTGAACCCTGTCCTCCGCTCGCCGAGCTCCGTTTGATTTATGAGGGGGGAGGTCCAAACCCAGTATTGGTACCATGTACCAAATTGAAATGTCTACAAATCCGTAATCTCTACAAATGACTTCAAACAGAGTTACTACCAGGGCGCTTGCTACATGCACTGCATTGCCAAAGCAAGATAGAGCACCTCAATGCGTTAAAACCCGACTAATTCCGCATTATGTGTTTTTCTGTGTTCCCCTCAAAATGTGTTCCCTCTTAGCGGGACCTTCTGTTAAAAAATCATGCACCTTGACTTAAACTTCGCTTGTTGGGTATTGTAAGTGGCTATTGTATAAGACTACCGTGTACCGACTTTTATCGGCGCTACAGGTGGTCTAGAGGCAAAGCTTTGGTCTGGGAGGACAGTGAAGACTTCCTTTGTGTGCCTAAATTTATAAACGTAGGGTAGGCAAGAATTATGTAACATGAAAGTTGGTGGCAAGTTTTAAAACCCTGGTGTACCGCCTTTAAAAAAATGGCGAAGTTGCCACGCAAAAGACACGAAAGAACTTAAAGGCGCTCAACCAGCTAAAGCTGTCCTTCCAGTAAAAGTGGCCTTCTATTTGACATTAATACTGGGAGGACAGCTTTAGCTGGCTGAACAGCCTAACAAATTTTATTTCAGCCCCCTCCTCCAACGTTAATTGGCAAGTGTCGCCTGAGTCCATAGTCCACAGACTATAGCTACCGTAACATCACAAAGTTTGTACATTTCGTGGCTGGTTGTTCCGCGAATGTCGACCGTATCCGTGGTGTGTACCACACACGTAGTGTGAACAGTTCATCAATTTATGGAATTTATTCGGAAAATCATAACAAGGATAGCTTCATTTTCTCGTTTTAAGCTAACATTTACTCAAAATCATTGAAATAACAACTAACGGATTGCACTCTTTCCTGCGTCTGTAAATTGACTAAACCCCATGAATCCTTCTTGTGTAAATTTGTATAGCTGGATCAACGTGCTCGGCCGGGGGCAAAGCCCCCGGCCGAGCGCGCCTTTAAGTTCTTTCGTGTCTTTTGCGCGGCAACTTCGCCATTTTTTAAAGGCGCTACACCAGGGTTTGAAACTGTCACCAAACTTCACGTTTGTAAATTTAGGCGCACAAAGGAAGTCTACACTGCCCTCCCAGACCAAAGCTTCGCCTCTATTTCACTGATCTATATTATTGTACTTTGCAATGATTTTGGCAATATGGGGCGAAATTTGCTGTATTTATAACGACCACCTGCTAGATTTACGAGAAATCGAGGTGCATAAATGGGTGGAGGCCTATAATTACGCTAAAAGCGCCACAACTGCACTTTTGAAAGTGCAATTGGGGCTGTGAAGCAGCAATTCTGACGGCCCTTATCTACAAGCACCTAGACACACGGATATTATGCATAAGAGGGTGGGGGTGCTGGGATCATGAACGTTGGTGTACTATGGCACTTGACTGGCTCCTCCAAGTCGATATATGTATGAGGAGAGGTTCTCTCCGAGAGGATTTATGCATCATTTTAGCAGGTCGTGTATCGTTTTTTCACACACATTTAGGAGCACGCTTTGCCACATTTAGCGTCTAAAGTGGTCGGTGAAATACTTGCAAAGCACAATAATCCTGCTATTTATCGGCGCTACATAATAGCTGCCCAAATTTTGTGGTGCCATTTCATTGGTACACTTCCGGATTAGAATCCTCCCCTTAGACTGGAATGGAGGCACCCTCGGGAACCTTGAATGAGGCACTCGGTGTTTTTTCTGCACACATTGCCAGATCTAGAGCATGAGAGTGCGCTTGCCCGGCAGTCTTTCCGGATTTGGGAGACTCTCGCATGACTTGATCGCCTGTTGCAGCCTGCAACTTGCAGGAGAGTCTTGGCGCGCTAGGCTCTGACCAATCTTGGGATCGGTTTTGCCGCACAAAAACTGCGACTCCAAACAGGAGACCTCCGCTATCTATAGTTCAGTATGCCAAGTGAGCGGGACTCGGTGCATTTTGAAGGATCAGGTGCTTGCCTCTCCAGCACCTGCTCCGTTCCTCAAACAGTTCAAGTTTTTGCAGCAGATTTGCTGTTCGTAGAATCGTTTCTTTTGGTTTGGTATCAGTCAGTCACTTTCCATTTTGCTCAGCTGGCCTCAGTTATATCGCCTCACGCGTGAATACTGCACACAGCTCCGCTCCACGATGCGTGTCCACTACATCGCGCTGCTGGTCGCTGCCCCCCTCGCTAGAACCGACGCCGCGTCTGCTGCCACAGAATCCAAGATGGCCACACCCGACTTCCGTGCAGCGGGTCGATCGATCGCCACGGACCAGCGCCCCCAGAGACTGTTGAGGAGCCACAAGACGATCGAGAAAGCCGATGACGAGAAGGAGGAGAGAGTGTTTAGCATCAAGTTCTTAGACGATTTTTTGGAGAACAACCAGCTCAAGGGCTGGCTCAAGGATTCCGTGTCGGCGAGAGACGCCATCAAACTAACGAAGCTCGACGACGCAGGGGCGAATCTGTTCACGAGCACCCAATGGAAGACCTTTTCCACCTACGTGACCATGGCCGATAAGAGCAACGCGGACCAGGAGATGGCAACCGCACTGATGGGACACTATGGTCCAGACAAATTGGTGGATAAACTGGCGGCCGCGGCGAAAGTCCCGGAGACGAAAGAAATCGCCACAAAGCTGGACGACGGTCTCATTAAGTTCTGGAAGGGCTTGGACACGGAACCGAACAATCTTTTCACGATTCTCAAGCTGGAAAACAAGGCGGACGACCTGTTTGATAGCCCGGCCATTGATACGTGGGTGAAGTACCTCAAGGTTTACAACGAGAAGCACCCCAACAAACCGGTGTCCATGACGGAGGTGGTCGGTTCACATTATGGTGGTGAAAAGGAGTTCCTGACGATGCTGGCAAAGGCAGACGACGCCAATAGTGCTGGGGCCAAGAAGCTGCAGAACGAGGTCATTAAGAGCTGGATGGACGACCCCTCGCACCCGATGAACATCTTCACCAAGAAGCTTGGGCTTGACAAGGCCGGGGATAAGGTGTTCAGCGACCCGTTGCTGGTGACGTACGTCCAGTACATGAAGGCATTCAACAAGGAGTACCCGCACACCGAGACGACACTGATCCAGGCGCTGTCAAAGAGCTACGGAGAGAAACTGCCTACGATGCTGGAAGCGGCCAAGAAGGTGCCCTCTACCGAGAAACTCGCTACAAATCTGCAGGCCGCGCAGTTCAAGCAGTGGATAGCGGAAGGAAAGACACCGGATGCCGTCTTCAAAAAGGTGCTTAAGTTGGAATCGACCAGCAGCCCGGACGCTGACATTTGGCGCGCGTACTACAAGGCGTACGACGCGGAACACCCCGGAAAACTATTTTCTTTCAATCCCTAAAATGTACACTGATAGAGTAAGGACAGGAGTGAAATCCTGAATTCATCTTACAAAGTCGAGCCTCCGGCCCGAAGAAGCTCTTAAATTGCGGTTTTCAACAAATCTTGGCGTACTTTTACAGTTCTCGTTAGGTATGCGTAGCGAAAAAGAAAGACATCAAGCGTAGTTTTCTCCAACTCGGACGAAATCTTGTAGGCCGTTGTCCATCCATTTGATCCCCAACGGAGGTGCGTTTGGCCAAAGCTATTCTATTACCGTATTTATTTAGTTGTTGTGGGTTTAGTTATAATGGGGTTTCCAAAAAAGGAGAGGGCGAAGTCTTTATCAAGAAGTTTGTATGGAGTGATTGATGACCATGATAGGAAAGTACTCATTCCATTTTGTACCACCCCCACTATAACTAAATATGGTAGGTATGTTCGGCTGGCCAGATCAGCCTTCCCCGTAGCCTACGCGAAGCGTAGGTGTAGGAATACACCGCCTCACGAGTAGTTCTGCCCAGCAGTATCGTGCATCGCTGCCAAAAGCAGATGCCTTACGCCGCCACCACCCAAGGTAAATTTTAGGCACCGCTCACACACGAAGGCGGGTCGGTCGGTTGGTCTGTCGTGTAGGAACACGCCGATTTTCTAGTAGATGTAGGCACAATCCCTTAAGACAACACCCACTGAGTCACGATGAGTAGCAATAACTCAGCAGGCTTGTCGGGTTAATGAATATGAACCTAAAGGCCCAGCTTCACACCCGTTCCTCGGGTTGGTCGTTTCCCCTTATGTTCCGTGGTTTCCTTAGGCCACCAGCAAAACCCAGCACTTCCAGTCACGAGCGACGACTGGAGTGCTCTTCACACGCAATAACCCCGCGGTCCCTCCAAAGGAAGGGTCCTGGCCACTGGTAGGCCGTTCGCGAGGGTGTCAGAGAACTCTCCGACGGTAAGAATCAAAAGGGGAGCACTTAAGCTGCGACACAATACACGGTGGTAACTCGCCTTCAATACACGGCCCTTCTTCTACTCTCTTGGCCTTGCCGGGGTAAACGCACACCACTATGCTAGTAGGCACGCTCACCGACAGGCATCTCCCTCCCTACAAGATTACCTTGGACACAGGCCGTCCACCGTGCGCTTGAGGCCTTGTCACTTGAGAGGAAAAGCTGTTCTGTGTTGTTGCCCAAAGGGCTTATCTGTTCTATCTTGTCTTTCCTATAGTCCAATACAAACACTAAGTCTAAGCGTGTCCGTTTCGGATCTTCTAGCACCAACAGTCCCCATCGAAGAGTCGCCGAAGACTCGTAGGTACGCGAACGTAAGGTAGGTGCGTCTTAGGTGCGAAACTCCTGCGACTTGAGACGTGGTGTGCACCACATCTTCAACTCGGGACGTAGCCATCCGCGACGGTGCTGCGACCTTCACTCACGGCCGCCGATCTCGAACTCCCGTCAAGATGGCGGGGCGTCACGGACCGCGCAACCAATCATCGCCGATCCCGTTGGTCCTTGGCTTTTGACGCAATTTGCTGCAAGCTGCTGCTCAGGCTGCGGCGAGATCTCGGGGGCAATTTCCAACACCATAGGTCTGCTGGGAGAATTCTGAAATGAAAAGTGAGATATCAAGTAAATGAGAAGTCATGCTCTATCCATTACGTCAAAATTGGTAAAACATTGAGATCACACGCCCCATATAAAATTGGGGATTTTGGGGGTCCGAAAATAGAGTTAACTCTATCGCGAACCGTCTTATATTTGTATAGCATACAATTCTCTTTATATTTTTTGCAAATGGGCGCACCATGCGCCTATTGACAAAAGGGACCTACTCGAGGTATTGGACCTTTAGTGTGTAAGAGATAGGATAGTGGTATGCGGTAGTTTTTTGTGTACGATCAACCAAATAGACTTGACTTAAGTATTGGATGATACATAAACATGTACATTTTATTAGCTGTTACACAAGACGGTATGCAAATGTTTACGCAAATCACAAAAGGGCGCACCATGCGCCCTTTGAAAGGGATTTTTGTTCACCCAATTTTAAAAATGATGCCGATGGGCGCATCATGCGCCCCTTGGTCGCGATAGGGTTAATTTTTGCAGACCGGTGTCACTCTTAACATTTTAGAGCGTTCGATAGATAAAAAAAAGTACAAGACACGCCTCTTTTGATTGTTGCGGATAAATTGCGATTCGTACTTGCGTTTCGCAAGCATCATTTTGACCTTCTTCCACTTATGTTTTGCATCCATTTTCCCTTCTATTTAATGCAAGAACGGATTTTACCGAATAATACTCGGGACTACTATTCATTGGAGCCTAGTGTTGGCACAAACACTAAATGTACTTAGTATTGCTAATACTAGCGTTTGCGAATTATTTGTTTAATTAACAGTTAGTGCATAGTGAATCTGCCAGATTCAATCTGGCCAACATGTTTGTTTATGCTTATATTATGTGTAACTATTCATCATCAATTCTTTAACAAAAAAGTCGTATGCTGCCTTGAACGCGAAGGTCTTATTCTTTACACCATCTATGATCTTCTCAAACTGCATAGCGTATACTACTTTGGCTGCACCGTGGTTAATGTTCGCACTTACCCTTACCGGTAAGACTTACCCCGGTTAATTTACGGAAAGTAAGCGGGACCTTTTTTTAGGTTACCGGTGATTGGAGTTAGAGATAGGAATACCAGAAGGCTGTGGAATAGCGACGCGTGTGCCCTTCAACCCTCCGTCCGAGCGGTTTGCTCTTCCACTCCTCGTTTTGCGTCTTCCAGTTAAGACATCGCAGCCCAATGTAGAACTTCTCATCAAGACATACTCATCCGAACGACTCGACGACCATGCGCGTCTGCGTCCTTGGATGGAAAACGCGTTCTTTCTTGGCGAAACGGAGTACCCCCGTCTAACGCGCATTGCTACTCTCATTTTCACTGTTCCGACCTCTTTTGCTGCCGCTGCGAGAATGTCGAGCTCCTTTTCGTTTGTATGGTTGAAGCACCTCTACCGTTTAGCCACAGACAAGGTCGAGAAGCTTGTCTTCTTGTACACTAACTTTTCTTTGCTGAATTCAGAGGACAACACTACGTGCGGCGCCTCGTTGAGGGTGATAGCGTAAATGAGGAGGAGGACCACGACAGAGCAATAAGGAGTTGGTGGACTACGTCCAAGAGCTGAGAACTCTCATTGCAGGGATGCCTGCAGACCCGTTGCCAGAGGCAGTCACCGTTACGGTGTTCAGGGAGGGCCTTCGCACTGGCGTTGCCAGGACGGAGGTGTTCCGAACCCACCCAAGCTCTTTTGATGAGGTTGTGAGCGTCGCATTGAATGCGGAACACACTTTAAGTCGTCGAGACTTGGGTGGAATGTGTCTTACACTAGCGCGTCGAGTAGTCCGGAACCCATGGACCTCAGCTACGCTGAAGACGAAGAAGCCGAGCTTCGTGCTGCTGAGCAGCGTCGCGGTATCCGCAGATGCTTCATCTGTGGTGACGCCCGTTAACTTCGTGCTGGGTGTCCGCTGCGCCTTCAGCGCAGGCTTCGTCAAGCCGCTCATCGAGTTCGAGCCAGGGCTCTGGTTCGTCTCGGGGAAACGAGGAGTCCCAGTAGGCGCGGGGCGACCTACTGGGGAAGAACTAAGTTCTATTGATCCTCGGCGAGGTGGAGGTCGACAGGACTTAGCCCCGAAGAGAGCCGTACTGTCTAACATGGAACGTGTATGCAAGCCTGGCTTGCTAGTTGCTCAAGCTTGGGGAAGGGCTTCACGAAGCCATGGACGATTTTGATCGACTCTGGAGCGTCGGGTAACTACGCCCGGCGTTCTACGATGGACGGAAGTCAGCTTTATACTGAGGCGCTGGTAGAGTGCGGGAGTGACATCGTCACTGTTCGTCTCGCGACGGGCATTCGTGTCACGATGCCTAAGGTCCCTGTGGACCTGGGCGTGAAGCTTTTGGATTTGGATAGCGTGGAACGTTGTCTGGTCTTAGACCGCGATTCGAGATATGATCTCATCCATGGTATGTCGTGGCTGGAACGCCACCCACCTTGGATCGATTGGAGGTCGAAGACCCTTGGTGCTACCCACTTCTCTCCTGGCGGGGCATTGGCGAGTCATGAACCTACCTCTGCTAGGAAGCAGAAGCGCTTCTGGTACGAGCACTGGACCGAGTTGGTCAGTGTGCTGGATATCGGAGTTTCCGAGTTAGTGGACTCTGAGTGTAGCATTCCGAGCGTGGCTCGCGGACGGCAGGTGGAGCGGCACGAATTCCGCTGAGCGGGTGTGCGTCTGATGGCGACGCCCTGCTGTATTCAAGTAAAGGAGCGGTCGTCACGATGCCGAAGAACAAGTGGCGTTGCCCGGATCAAGGATGTGGAGCGGCACTAATTCCGCTGAGCGGGCATGCGACTGAGGGCGACGCCCTGCTGCGTGCCAGCGACAGCGCGGTCGGCACGATGCCGAAGCACAAGAGGCTTTGCCCGGATGAAGATCGTGGGGTGGCGCGTAATCCACTGAGTGGAGGCCGCGGATCGTGCAGCTCTTCACTGAGTGTCGGTAAAGACACTGGAGCCCCCCTGGAGCTGAACGAGGTGGTGACACCTGGCGTCAAGACGCACGCGAAATCATGGAGCTCTTCAGAGCGGACGGTGTCCATGAAGAGGAGGCAGCGCCGCAAAGCGCTGGCTGTGAGACGCAAGGCATCTGCGATCTCACGAGTCAAGAAGGGCGTGCCGAGCGGTGAGGCTCCACGCGAGAGCGATCAGCTCTATACACTCGTGAATGGAGTGACGGGCGACGTCGACGGAGGTATCAACGTCGACGACTTGCCCTCACTGTCTGCTCTGCTGGAGCTGGACGAAATGTCCTTGGCCGAGTTCGGCGAAGCCTTGAAGGCTGGAGACTTGGCTGAGGTAGTGGTCATACGACCCGAAGAAGAGTTGAACTCGTCTTCGCTTCTGGATGAAGATGTCCTGGAAGACACCAAGAAGGCGCTGAATACGCGGAGC